TAATTATCCAATTTAAGAAACGCTCAAAGCTAGAACAACACTGTACCATTTGAGAGAACCCGAACCGAGGCACCAGTGCCCTCCTGAATTGATTTGATCAAAGAGCCTTGTTTTCCTATCAAGTTGATCGCTTGTGTTGATGCCACCAGCAACCGGATAGAACAAAATGCAGCTCCAGGAGCCTTACCATCACCTTCAGCCTCAGGTAGTCCACTAATGCGTTTAAACACTCTTATTACAGCATCCATTGCGGGAGAAAGTGGTGCATCTGGTTCTTCCTTTCCAGATATTAGAACCTACAAAGTTGCAAATCAAAATCAAGTAGCGTAGGAATGATAAGTAGCACATAAAGTCAGAAATCAAAAGCAAAACGAAAAATGCCAGAAGCGCAATTGCAACTCCAACATTCTTCTACTATTTGGCCACTTAATTGAAATTACCATCAAAATTGATAGACATATCAGGACAGATTAATATTCCTTCTTGAACGGGTACACAAGAATAATCAAAAGTGACACCAAATGCCAAAAATGAGTAAAAATATTTGGCTACATTGGCTCTTTATAAACTGTAAATGGTAAATTGAAGAATGGAAAATCAATAATGGCGTACAAAAATTCGTACTGAGAAAGACAATAATAGGTACCCTAACCCTAATCTTTGCACTCAAATCAACCAAAAATCAGAAAGGCAGAAACCCTAGTATTGACGACCTAAACACCAGAGCGAACCCTAGCCAAAAAACTCAAAAACCCTTAAATCAGAAAAGAAGAGCAAGAATATACTGACAATTCGCTCAGGAGAGGAGATAGGGCCGTCAAGCACGCGAATTCTAGCTCGCGTCTCCTCACACATCTTCTTAATAAGCTCGCCTTTTCGCCCAATTATACTCCCAACCTTTAGCACCGGCACCACTAGCCGGAACACACAGTCCCCTGGCCATCCCGGCCATTTATTCACATTGTTGTCACTCTCTTTCGCCTCGGTCTCCTCCTCTACCTCTTCCTCCTCCTGCGCCGCCTCCTCAGCAGTGCCTTCTGCCGCTGCTTCATTCTCTGCTTCCCCTTTTGCCTCCTGCTCCGCCTTGTTGGTGGCCTCGGGCTCCGGCGCCGGTTCGGATTGTGAATTTACGGTTGCTTCGGTTGCGACTTCGGTGGATTTTGCAGAGCCGTTTTCTGTAGCTTCAGTGGAGGCCATTGCGTGTTGTGTGTGTGATTTTGAGGAGGCTTCCTGTTGGAAAGGGTTTAAACTTTAGTTTATGGTGATCGGAAATGAGGGGTAGGGGATCAAGTATTTCGAGGGTTAGTTCAGTAATTTAGACTCGTCGTTCCACAGGAGTTGCAAAACTGCAAATTTGACCCTTACGGTTTGGCCAAATTGCAATTGCCTCCTTTGAACCCGATAAATTTGGTCCAGTGGGTCGATAAGTTTGGTCTAATGGGTCTTTTTTGGGCCAGAAAAGATGAGTTTACTTGGAATAAGCACAAATTTGTTTGATTGTATCATAAATATATTTTTTATTTCACAAATATTACATTGAAAAGAACTATGATACTTATTTCAAAAAACTTTTCCAAATAATGGCTCTGTTTAGCATATGCGTTTTTTGCCTAATTTTTCTTTTACAAATTTTTTAACAATAAGTTCAAAAAACTCCTTAAAATTTAATATCCAAAAATATACAAAAAATTTACCTTCTTTCTTTTGTTCTTCTTCTTTTTTCCGTCGACGCCAACATCTCCCCTTTTTCCTTTCTTTTTTTTTTTTCCCTGTCACTCCTCCCTCCATTCTCCTACTTCTCTTTCCTCCCTCTCCTCTCCTCCTCCTCTCCATTCCTCCCACCTCTCTTCCCCCTCCCCCCTTTGGTTGCCCCTTTCTCCTTTTCCCCCTTCTTGCCCTTGATCCCTCCTTCCCTACCCCACATTCCCTTCTGGCCGACGTTGAGCGACCAAAGGGGGATGGGGGAGGGGGAGGGGAGGAGGGGTCGAGGAAGGAAGGGGAGAAGAAGAAGGGGGGAAAGAGAAGAGGGAAAAAAGAAGAGAGGATAAGAAGAAGAAAAAAGTAGGGAGGTGGAGACAAGGAAAAAAAAGGGGTGAGATGGTGGGGCATTACTCATGGTGGTGCAGTAGGCTGGTGGTGGGGTGGGAGAGAGGAGGAAGAAAAGGAAGGGAAAAGAAAAAAAAAAGAAATTTTTCTTTAAACCCTCAAAATTACAAAAGTTTTTCTATAATTTCTATAATAAATTATAATAAAATTTTTTACAACACACTCAGAGAATCTTTAAATATTAACAGGCGTGCTTCTTTTTTTTTTTTTTTTTTGAGTTACAAGGGAGAAACACAAGTTCTTTTAACAAGCAACAAAATAAGCGAATTCATCCCAATAATGTCAACACCACGTATCTCTCTGATTCTTTTATGTGGTTCACCTTTGGTCAGTTTGTGTGTAAACACTTCCCTTAATTAGTCAATTCGCACATTTGTTCTTTTCTCTCAATGTATGAACCAGCCCGCAGTTCCAGTTCCTTTGCATTAGCTCTTGAATAAGCCTATCCTTATTAACATATCTAGTCTATTGGGGAATGTCATTGTTTTCAATTGGGTTGTGATTGCTAACGTGGCGCGCTGCTATTGATTGATTGGTGGTCGTCCGCTCGTGCGAATTTCCAATTGATGATCGTCCGTTCCCACGCGTGATTTCTTCTTCTGACTCAATGGGAGTGATCCAGACCCATTATTGCATTGACGATGCTATTGGCGTTCCTTAATTGTAGCAGTTGTAGCTATAGGATTAATTTGGATTAAAAAGACTGATTTACCCTCATGTTCCTACATTTTTTCTCTATTTTTGTCTCCCGCTTGCTGTAATAAATATTAGGTGCATGGGCATGTTTGTCAGAAACACATTGCCGCCACTTTTGGTTCCGGGCGAGAAATTGGCTCCTCTCTTTGTCCACTCGACAGCGCATTGTTTCCTCTGCTTTCTTGGTACGGTCATGGCAGGTAATTCCGTTTTGCCCGGTGGATATATGGTGCGGCCTTCTTGTGATGTTTCCTTTTTGTTCCATTTGCTTTCCTTTCTTTTCATTTCCCATTCAAATTTTTTGTCCTGGCTGCTCTTTGTGCTTCCTGGTCAGTGAATTGCACTGCACAAATTGAGATTACAACCTGGCTTCCTCAATTGGAGGGTCAAGATTTTTTTTTTCTGAGGAGTGGGTGCTTAGGATTTGATGGATGATGGGCTTGAGACAGAAAAGGGCTGATAATCTTCTTCCCCTTCCACTCCCGGTTTCTCCCAGTTCTTCCTCTTTTTCTTCTTCATCTGGGGCTAATTTTTCTTTTTTTTTTTGTCATTTTTCCTGATATTTCTATTTTCTTGGCTAAAGGCAGCAAATCACTTTTTCCCCATCTCCTTCGTGTCCTTTTGTGAAACAATGAGGAAGGGGAAGGTCAATATTTCATCTCCACTACCTGATGTGAATTTCTAGAATGCAGATATGGTACTTTTCTTCCCCTTTCTTTCCATGAATAATGTCTCCGTTTCATTTCTGTTTTATCATTGATTTTTAATTTTTAATTAGAAGAAAAAGTTTTGATATCGTCTGAGATGATGAATAATTGAAGATTAGCTAGCTTTTAGATATTTATTTACTTAATTGTTTGTACCTCTTTGGTGTTTTGTTGTTCCATTTTTTGCCTTTCTTGGAGGAAAAATGGTCACCCATGAAAAGCAACTGGTAAGGGAAAACATAAGTTTTGTTGTATCATTCTGATTTAATTTTTTGTCCCTTCCACTCCCAATTTAGGATTTGATGGACGATATTTTTTTTTCTCTTTTTTTTTTTGTTCTTTTGGTGTTACTTTTCTGAGTATATTATTGGTTGTTGTTATAGGAAGGAATAGGAAGACTTGAAGTTGACATCTCGAAGAAGTAGTTGAAGCTGGTAATATTTATTTGTGTTCTACTATTTATACTATAAACCATAGTCTTTTCCTATAAACAGTTTCTCTCACCTAATTTAGCCTATTTTTGTTTATTGAGGTTTTTGTCAGAGAAAGGATAAAGTAAAAGTGATTGGAAGAATGAGCAACTTTCTTCCAGTGTTTTGTGTTTTAGGTTTTATTGTGTTTGTCAAAGTAAATTAGATACGAGTATCTTTTTCTTCTCTATCTTCATTTTTTCCCTTGGCTGGTGAACATGATGAATTTGTTATTTAAACTACCTGGTATTCTTGGTAATGTCTAGATTTGAGAAGCTGTATGATGAAATCTTTATTTCATAGTCGATTTTTCTGGTTTTGTGGTTTTGACTTGCAAAGTGAAATCATTATTATGACTGACTTCCTTGAAGATGTTTTCATCAGTTCATGATTCATGAGATACATTGTTATATGAATTAGATAAATGGAGTTTCAAAAGCAAAATCCATGTAATCTACTATGAAGATACCATCTTTCCTCTTTTAAATTACTAAAGAAACTTGGCAAGATCTTTGGCTAGAAAAAATATGTTCAGAAAATAGTATCCCTGTGCTTCACAACATTGACCGTTGATGTTGGACCCAATTTTACATTTAAAAAAAAAAAGAAAAATTGGAAAATAATGCATAGAAACTTCTCTAGAATTTGCTTCCACATATATATACAGTATTTTGTTCCCTTTGGGGAAATTTCATGTGACATTATTTTTATTGTTTGATGTATGTTGGCAAGACTTGTTTTTATACTCTCTCAATAGATTTCTCCTCTTGTTTCTGTTATCGCCATTTTTTTTGTGAAATCTTCTTTCTTCTAAGCAACTTTAAAGGTTCTTTTCTTTATATGAATATGTTATTATTGGGGTACATCTAATCCTGATCCTACTTTTTTAGCAGGAAATGACCATACTTTGGGTTTTGTTACTGGTGGATCTGCTCTATTGCATGGTGCTACTCAGACAAGTGCCTTACCCTGGTCTTCAGCATCAATGATATTTCCTCCAGCCCTAGGCATGCCTTCAAAAGCTGAATGGAATGGGTATCAGGTAGTTTGTTTCTGACATCACTTCTCTATTTTACACTGCATTTGTCTACTCGATGACATTTATTGTAAGATTCATGTGTTGAATGTTCATCTGATGTTCAAATTGTGGGTGGTATTTGACAGATGGTGTTATCTTTGCTTGCTGAACACCGTATATGAATTTCATCTGATACATTGGATGTCACTGATGCATTTGAAAATATGTCAGTGTCTCCAATTTGTGGTTGTCAATGTGTAAGGTTTAACGTATGAGGTAATAGTGTAGTAAACAAGTGTTTCTTAGTTTTAATTGAGATGAAGAAACTAATTCTTATCTTTTTGTGCCACGGTAGACTATCTTTTTACTCATCTTTACTGTGATAAAGATCTTCAGAGGCTGTATTTCTTTTTTTTCAAGACTTTGAAGTTAATTGAAGTTAATAATGATTGTTGTACTCTGCATCTCTTTTGAAAATTGACAATAGGCTTGCTTTGCTATTTCATAGGTAATTTTGTTTTATACGTATTTCATAGGTATTTCGTAGGTACTTTTCTTTTATTTTTTTTGGATTTGGATCAATATCGTTTGATTAAAGTCTGAAATATCATTCTTGCTTTGCTAAGCATGCTATCTATAGAACTTATTCAATGCTTGGCTTAAATCCTCAGGCTGTTAACAATTGAAGTAGTTAATTGCAAACCATGTGAAGTGTGTGAAGTATGTCCCAATTAACAATGATTAACAAACTAATGCTGACTGTGACAATTAGGGAATAGTGAACTTGATGAATCTGCTTTGAAACCTGTGTTCTTAATAATATTGAGATTAGCAAAACTTTATGACCAATGTTGGACTAATTTTGAGATTTTACAAAAAATGAAAAATTGGAGAGCAACTCATAGAAACTTTTTTGTTATTTGCCTTCCCTATATATTTAGAGTTTTGTGTTCCATTTTAGGGATTTTTAATGGTCACATGTGCTTGTGTTTTCTTTCTATGGGAATAGAATAGATATCAAAAGTTTGATAAAACAAGTTGTTGCAAAAGCTCAACAATCCATGTAAACCCTGCGAATATTCAATAGGAGCAACCCTGAAACATAATTGAATACCAATTTTTTAGATGAATATTGCCTTCACTATTTTTCTTTACACCTGAAAAATTTTATAGATTATTGATGCTAGAGTAACATGAACTTTATTGGGAATAAAAGCTGAATTACATGACATTATTTAGAGTTGCATATATTTTGGCTTTTGGATTGGAGTATGTCATTAGAATATAAAGATATCATCTCTGGAGAAGTTTCTGTTTCATTTTTACATTTTAGGATCTTCTTGGCGTATTTGTTTGTATGATTTTATTTCCTTTTTCACCTTATCTTCCATTGGCATTTTGTGTAAATTATGCAGCTGCATGATCAAGTTGTGGAAAAGTTTACTTGCATACCATCTCCAAGGATCTGGCACATCTAATAGTTTCACTTTGGTGAGAACTCGAGTTACCAAGCAAGACACTTTAGCTTACCTGTAAGAATTTTTTCATTTCTTGACTTTGACAACTACTGTACCAAGAAAAAAAGAAAAAAGAAAGGCTTCTTGCTTGTGAAATGGGTTAAAATATACAAGGGGTAACAAATTTTTTATGAGAGTATTAGTAACCAAAAGTGCAAATGTTTGTTGAATTTGTCCTGTCCTTGTTGGCATTATTCAAGTCCTTGATTTATTTTTAACTTGGTTTTACAGCAGTAAACTAATTTCGATGGATTATATCTTACATTCTTTTTTGTTATAATACATGGCAGGTTCTTCAGCAGTTTCTTTAGAAATTGCTCATTACACTTCTGGGGCGAGTATGAACGACAGAAAGTTTTTGTTTTTGGTTAAGTTAAAATATGTATTTATCGGAATTATGGAAGTTCAAGTTCATGTTTCGAGATTCTACAAGACTAATTTTATTGTTTTATCTATTTATTATGAATTCCTTGACTATGAACAATCTATATTTATTGTGTATATTATTGTACTTTTCAATGACATTTTCCCATTTTTTGATCCTTAGTTGCGTTACAGGCATTTTGTAAACAGGGCATAACTGGGCATATAAATTTTAAAACTGTCCACCGCGCATTTGCGCGGTGATCTCCTCCTAGTTAACATATCTAGTCTATGCGCGAATGCCATCGTTTCCAATTGAGTTTTAATTGCTGACGTGGCACAATTTTATTGGCCAATTGGTGGTCGTCCTCCGTTGATTGAGCTGATGAATTGAATTGAGGACAAAATCGAGATTTCACGCCTTAATAAATAGGTAGGGTTACTGAGAGTCTTTGCTTGTTCCTTCAGCTTGCGCCGCTTGTTCTACCAGTCTCCTCACCTCCCTTTTTCCAAAACACCTCTATTTCCTTTTGTCTCATCCGAGAGTATGACTGACCGCCTCCATTCCTTCCATGGATTTCCTCCATTTTTTTCTCTGAAAAAAAGAAAAGAAACAGACTAACAACACACCGCATCTATTCTCCCTTTCTTCTATAATTTTCCCCTCTTTTAAAGATTATTCGAAAAAAAATGATGCTCAAAACCCACCTTTTATTCTCTCTCTTTGTTGCCCTTTTTGTCTCCTTACTCTGAGATAGGAGAACCTCGAAAATTTGGTCGATCTTGTTTGCTCAACTGCTCACATTTGGATTTTCTTTTTCTGTTTCTGATCTCCATTCCTTTTCCTCATAAACCTATGATTTTTTCCCTCTTTCTACACAGAAAAATTTCTATTTTCTCTCAATTATTTTTCTCTTTATTGGGACATAATTACCTTGGAGATCTTTCTTATCTGATTTATTTTCGATCCGTTGATCTCGCCATTTTTTAGTTTCAAAATTTTCCTTATTTTGACTGATTTTCTTTATTCTCTAAGCAATTTCATGTTCACATGATGTTTATTTTTCTCATGGCTTTTTTGACTATGATAATTTTTTGTTATGGAATTTTTTTGTGATTATCTCAGGTTTAAAAAAACACAAGGAAGGCCACTGAAGGAGGAATTACAGTTAGTATCTTGCCTTTTCATTTTTTTGGGTTATTTGTTTTTCTCTTTATTGGGACATAATTACCTTGGAGATCTTTCTTATCTGATTTATTTTCGATCCGCTGATCTAGCCATTTTTTAGTTTTAAAATTTTCCTTTATTTTGACTGATTTTCTTTATTCTCTAATCAATTTCATGTTTGTTTCAGGGTGCAAGTTTAAGGTTTGCTTTTTATTATCTGGTATCTTCAATCTCTACAGAACCCGCCAGGTAAGAGATCTCACATGATGTTTATTTTTCTCATGGCTTTTTAGACTATGATTATTTTTTCTTATGGAATTTTTTTGTGATTATCTCAGGTAAAAAAAACACAAGGAAGGCCATTGAAGGAGGAATTACAGTTAATTTCTTGCCCTTTTATATTTTTTGGGTTATTTGGTTGTGATAAATAGTATTTTTCTTTACTCGTTTCTTCCTTCAACTATAATATGAGAAAATCCAATATTGTTCATACTGGTATCAACTATTTTTTTGTTAGAAAAGTTATAGATCTAAAGCTTCGTTCCAACCATATTTATTTGTTGCCCCCATCCTCCTTTCTGAGCGCATATTATATTAGAGATGAAAAATAATCATTATAGGGTTTTCTTTTGTATGGAATAAAATTTGATCATATTTCTCCCAAGGACGGCTTTAAGGTATCCTGCAATTTGGGGCTCTCTTTCTGGAAAATTTTGTTTATTGCATGTGAATTAATTTCTTCGATCTCTTTTTTTTTCCTTCTTTTGGTTGGCAATGATCTCTCCATACCTTTGCTACTGGTTTTATTGGTCTAAGTTTTAATAGTTCTCATGGAGTTGTATTTATATTTACTTAGTTTGCTTTTTTTTTTTTTGACGTTTCTTTGAGAGCCCTTATACAAACTTATGATTTGTGTGATTTGCTGGTTTACTTTCAGCTACTACATTTCTCATTGTCTTTGGTTAATTATTTAATAACCATCTATTTTACTTATTTGTTTTCAGGTTCTCTTTGTAAACTCTTTACCCTTTCTTCCATATTTTTCTTGCACGATGAGGTGGAATAGTTACAAGCTATCAGAATGTATCTCTTCAAGAGGTGGAAACATTCTCAATTATGATATTTTTGTATCTGAGCACAAGAATGTATAGAAGGTCTGTTGCTCTATCATGTACTTAATTGTATTTTAGCACATTTCAATTCCAAGTAAATAAGCTCATTTTATGCTTTCTTTTTTTGGAATATTTGGCTTATGTTTGGGTTTAGCTTGAAGTTATAGTCCCTTTTGTGATTTGTCCCTCATCCTTCAACCGGTGGATTATGTTTAGTTGATCTGGTGGATTATGTTTATTAGATTTAATGACTCATGGTTTCTTTTTTTATTAACAAGACCTTTATTCTTCTTGTCGCGCCCCACTTTTTGATAGTGGTGTGAGTAGGTAGTGTGTGTGGTGTGTGTGAGATATGAACGTGTGAAAGTGAAAATAAAGGCCGTGGGATTGTGAAATGCGACGGTTTGGCCAAACAAAATTCAAAAAGGATTTTTGAATAGGAAAACGGAGTCACCACTTGGTATAGAGTTAGGGTGTACCAAGTCACCCAAAAATGATTTTTTGTTTTTTTTTGAACGAAAAAAGTAAACAAACCCTTTTAAAAACTTTTAGGTCTACGTAACCAAAAAAAGGGATCGGGGTCACATTTGGTAAGGGAGAAGGCAAAGGCGTGGCCTAAGGCACTCCCTTACCCTAGTCAAAGCTAGTTGCGTGATTTAGCCTCACTTTTCCTAATTCTTCTACCCAAGGTATGTATCGCATGTTGGATATGACTAATGGATGCAAAAAGGAAAGAAAAAAATGCAATCCTAAATCTAAAATGTTTCTTATGAGACTTTTTGGTCTCAACCACATAAATTGTGGTGGCCAATAAGGAAAGCTCTCATAGAAGTCGTGATTAATGCAAATGAGGACTCAAGTGTAAGTGTGCAAGTGTGAGAAAATAAAGGTGTTTGTGTGCAAATGAATAAAAATAGGATATTAGATACGCATAAGTGCAATTTGAATGCCATTTGTGAGGTAGAAAAATAAATGAGGGATAGGAAAAAGGTGGTGAGAAAATGGATTGAGAAAAATCTAAATAGTGAGAAAATGTGGCTAAAAGAGTGAGGAGGTGATATAAAAAGAATGGAAGTGTATGACCCTAAGGGAATGCATCAAGTCGGGCACGGGAAGGACTCCTAACTTTACGACTTTGATTTTCCCTTGGATTAGAAGGAAGAACTAGCGTGCTAAGGCTATTTTGTAGCCAAACTCGCTCGTTTCCCTTATCGAAAGGGAACTCTCAAGCAAATGTACCCTATAACTAGCATGAGGATGCAAAAAAACCTAAAATGAGGGGAAAAGGATTGGAGGAGCATGCCAAATGATAAAACTAAGAAAAATGCATGAAATGTAGTGAACATGCGAGTATGCACTAACGAAAGAGGGACGGCCTATTGGGTCTAGCGTTGGACTAGCCCTTTCTATGAATTCCTAACGGAATAATGAGCCACAACTAGCATTGGACTAGTGTGGTGACGTACATTCATCCATCACATTCATCTACGAATATAGAAAGCAAGTAGACATGCCCAAACACTCATAAACACGTAGCACGTAACACTTAGCATGCTCGACTAAATGCAAAAGCCTAATAAAGCAAATTAACACATAGCCACAAAAGCAAGCAATCAAGCTAATGAACCTATTACATTTGCTAGTTAGGCACACGTCTTCAATAGGTCTTCATCAAATGCTCCCCAAACCCTATCTATTACAAACCAAGAGGTGTACACATACCCCATAAATAAAAGAATGACTTAATAAAAGCAAAAGTAAATGAAATGAATTAAGGAAAAACAAAGAAAGCAAGTAAAGTAGGCATGCAATTCTCACTTAACACGTTGGATCACATAGGGGAGAGACAAAAAAGATAAAAGAAGTTATACCTCCCTTGAAATGGAGCTCTAATGGGGTGAAGTCACTTATTTATCCTCCAAAATAAAAGAAATGGTCAAGGTACCAATTTATTTACAAAATCTCAAGGAATAAAATAAATATAAAATTGAATAACTAAACAAAGCATTCAAAATAAGTTAAACAACCCCTATTCATCCAATTAAAACAAACAAGGATCCGTCTAAAGGATTAAAAAGGGATCAATTTATTATTACTATAAAAATTAAGAGTCAAACAGGGAATAAAAAAACAAAATTACGGACCTAAGGTGAGACCCCTCAATCAAATGATAAAAATCACACAAAAAACAAATGAAAATCAATTTGCTAGGATTAAACACCAAAGATTCCAAAATTTTACTAAAACATGAAATTAAAGTCATAAATCTCTTAAAAGCTATGAAACCTCAAAAATTCATCCCAAAAGCTCGTGCATGTTTTGTTCAATAATCACATGAAAGCAAACCAAGGGAAAACAGCATGTTAAAGAGGGCAAACTTGATTAACTTTCCAAAGTTTCTGGGCCGTAATAGCATTAGACAAAAATTAAGGGGTTGGAGTGTAATTTCTAAAAGATTCTCATGCATGCATACGAACAAGATTTCTGCAATGTTTCTGTACTCTGGCAAACGAAATGAAATCTGTTGCAATTTTTTCTCAAACTCAAATTTCTTAATCACAACCTTGATTAGATTTTTCCAAACCAACCAACTTCGTTCAGACCAAACAAACAGAAAACTTAGCAACTTCATTCAAACAAACAGAAAACTTAGCAAAACATCAATGGTTTTAAACTTCAGCAAGCAATGCTTTTGAGCTTCAGCATTTCGCATGACAGATGCACTCAAGCATCTCAAACCACAAACCCAAACTCAAATTCCTATTAAGCTTATCATGCATGCAAGAGGATGGCAGAATCAGAAATGATAAAGATTTTCATGCAATCCAGAATTCAAACCAAACTTTCTGCTAAAAAAAATTCGGCAGCTAGGGAGGCTTTCTACAATAATTCCTCTGCTGCACATTTGCAGCTTCAGCTCACGCAAATGAAAGATTGCGCAATAACTCAACATTTAGTTACCAAAACCAACACACATCTCCCAAACATAATCATCCGTTCCTCATGAAATCTAATCAAAGCAACCAGGCATGAAACGCAGCAAAGCAACGTGTGGTTTAGCAGCAGCTTCGCTTGACCAGAAACTTTCCCAAAAGTATTGTTAGCAACACACAAATGCACATATCTACTCTCAACATGTCCAAAAATGCTTCTTCATACGAAAATTCAGCACAGATGCAAAGCAATAAATTCAGAAACGATGAGATGACCATTGCTGCAACAAAGGAAAGAGCTCCTATCTGTCAGCATTGCTGCAAAGAGCTCCAACCCTGTTCGCAGCGATTTACGCACAACAACCTCAAGTAAATCATCTAAAATCAAACAACAAGATCCTCGAACGTTCTTCCATTTTGCCAACATGAAACCTTGAGATTTCAGCTTACAAGAATAAAAGTAAAAAGCACAAACTGAGAAATTTCTGCTACATATGAACTTAGATGCTTTCTCGAATAAACCAGTCATGGAACGTCATTTTTCTTTTTCAAAGTTAATATCTTTTGCTACTAGACTACAGCTTGGGAACAAAAATGAACAATACCAAACGGATTTCGAACCCTAACATGACTGTCATGCAACATAACAGCAAAAGACCCTAGCTTTAAGCTATCAACCATACCAATAAAAAGAAAACAGTGATCGGAAGTCTTCTTGTACTCACAGGATCAAACCACTGTCCCTCGGTAAAGATCTGCCGGTGGCGATGATGAGTTGCGATGGTGGCGGTGGATTCCAGTTAGCCGAAGCCTTCCTCCGTTTCCTTTTCAGCCTTTTCCTCTTTCCGTTGCTTGCCCGACAGCTTTTTTTCCTCCTCTGTTTTTTCGTTTTCAGCCGCAGCCCTCCTTTCCCTCTTGCTCTGTTTTCCTTCTCAAGGCTGAAGCTCCTTGCTTAGCTCTCCAGATTTTCCATCGTCCCCTGCTCTCTGTTTTTTTCCTTAGCTTTTCGTCGCCTCCCTTCTTTTCCTTTTTCTTTGCTCTCTATCCTTTTTCCTTTGGCTCCCCCTTAGATTTTCAGCCGTCCTCAGCCTTCTTGTTTTCTCTCCCCCTGGTTTTTCTTTTGTCGTCCCAGAACCTCCCTCAGCTTCCAGATTTTCCCTTTTGCTCTTGCCTCAGACTCCCTCTCTCGGCTCTCTCTTTCTTGTTTTTTCAGAACCCCCCGCCGCCAATCTCTTGCTCTCTCCCCTTTCTCGGCTAAACCTAGCTGTCCCTCTTCTAGAGTTCTCTCCCCTCTGAGGTGTCCTAGACACCTGGCCATTTATGGCTAAATATTGCCCTCAAGGCCCTGCTGCAATCTCCTTTGCAAGCTGCGGAAAATCGCAGCTTTGCATGCCGCTGCTTTTTTTTTTTAAAATTTAATTTAACAAAATTGATAATAATAATAAAAATAAGTAACAAAAGCAACAATTTAAGTAAATCATTTAACACAATTTAAATCATTTTTCATTTTCATCATTTTTCTCTTTTTCCAAGAAAACAACTAAATCATATTTTTTGAATGCTTTTCCTTTTTTTTTTCTCTTTTCTTTCTTTTTTCCTTTTTCTTTTTTTTTCTTTTTTCTTCTTCTTTCTTTTTTTCTTTTTTTCGAGAAATTCTATGCTAAAACTTAAAATAAAAATAATAAAATAAAAACTAAAAACTAAAAAGTGAATAAAACTTAACACGACAAATAAAAACTAAGAATTAAATAGTAAATGAAATTACGCTAAAAATTTGGTGTCTACACTTCTGATATTTTGCCTCTTAGAAAAGTATTTTGTGTCACTGATATTTTTTATCTGATTTATATTTTTTTGTTATTGCCTTTGTAGGAAGAAAGATGATAGCACCTACCTTTCATTTTTTTCTGTTCTATAGAGGTATATTCATTTGAAGTTTTTTTTTAAAACTCTTTTTGGCTGATAAGAATGTTCTTTTGATTTCTGTTTCTCAAGTCTCAAATCTTTTGAATTTTTTTTTGTCTTACCATTATTTTTTGTAGGAAGCAAGAGGAATTTATCACTGTCTAAAAAAAAAAAGATAAACATTTTTTGAGTAAATAGACTCGTCAAAAAAGAACACTGGATATTCAAAATGCTATCGAAGTAGCAGTATGAGTTAGTAATCAAGGCGCTCATACCTAATGACCTTAATTTTTGTGACTTATCCCTTTTGATAATTGGTGACTTCATGTTAGTGTTTCTTTTGCGTTTTAGATTGTGGCCAACTATTGGTTGTTTTATAATGATTATAGAAGAATCAGGTTTTAGATTTAGAAAGGCTTTTTTTCAATAACATAATTCTACTAAATCTACTACGTTGGTTGGAGATGTGCTAAAATTATCATATCACATTGTTTGGAAACTTTCTTGTGTTGTTATAAGAAGTACGAAAAGTTTTCAGAAAATGCTGATTTATTCTTGTAAATATTTTCCTTTTTGACTTATCAGATATTCCCAGAATTCTTATGTAATTCTACGTGTCCTTTTATGTAGTAGATTGCATTTGGATCCATTTGCTTAAGGTGGTCCAAATCCTTTCATGTATTCACCGATGATGCAACAAAAGTAACTTTAAAAGTATTTTTGGTCCTTAATTGTTGCTATTGTAAGGTTTAGGTCCTTTGTTTAGGTTTTAGATTTAGAAAGCCTTTTTTCTAATAACGTAGTTCTCCTGTATCTGCTATGTTGTTTGGAAATGTGGTAGAATTATCATATCACATTGTTTGGAAACTTTCTTATGTTGTTATAGGAAGTACGAAAAGTTTTCAAAAAATGCTGATTTATTCTTGTAAATATTTTCCTTTTTGACTTATCAGATATTACCAGATTTCTTATGTAGTTCTACGTGTCCTTTTATGTAGTAGATTGCATTTTGATTCATTTGCTTAAGGTGGTCCGAACCCTTTCATGTATTCACCTATGATGCAGCAAAAGTAACTTTAAATGTTTTTTTGGTCCTTAATTGTTTGCTATTGTAAGTTTTAGGTCCTTTGTTATCTGTTTAGATTACAAACTATTTATTTACTTCAAAAAGTGGCTTAGGGACGATGTTTTGTCCTATTGCATCAATGTGATTTGGATGTGAAATTTTGAAAAAAATTTAGGTGTTTAGTGCTTAATTCCTATTGTTTTACTTCTTTTTTGCGATTTAACATATGCTATGCTATATTTGATGGTGTAGCATAAGAATTTTAACTATATTTATTTTCTACTAAATCCCAAATGTTTATTATGGGTTGAGATATTAAGATTTACAGCATAGTACAAAAGGATTTTGGAAATTGTTTTCTCAATGTTAATTTTATTTAGGCCCTTTTTTTAACAAAAAAATGTTAATCTGTTTAGTGTAGATCCAAGGTTTTGTGGTCTTCATTTTTTCCCCCCAATAAATTTGCTCTTGCCAGCATTTTTTATTCTAAGTCTTTGTTAGATGAAGGAAGAAAAGATAAAGGAGGCTACTTTTCTTCAGTAAGCCTGGATGATGTGTTTTAATGTCCTTTTTTTTGTGTGAACAAATTTTTTTCATTGTAACTGGCTGTAACTTTCTGCTTTCTTTGTCCTGTTATTGGTCTTTAAAAAAGTGAAGGGTGAAAATTTGAGACGGCATCCTATTTCCTCGAGATCCAAAGTTATTTTCTTTTACTTGTTTTACTTACTCTGTTTTTATTGTTTTGATTTCTCTGTTTGAGAATCATACAACCTAAAGCTCAATTTCTTTTTTGCAGAATTCAACTCGGACATATAATTGCTTGTACACTTGCTGTTCGGCTTGTAGTTTTGCTTGTTTCCTTTTTCTAGAGATGTTAGTCTTGTTTTTGTTTTTTCAGTTTTTGGTTATTTGTCAACCTTATTGATGGGTTGCAAGATTTACTTTTCTTTTTTTTTTATCAGCTCAGTAGTGGCAAGGAGAGTAAACTAATTTGTTTTCTTAGGTAATTTGTAGTTTGCCTTTTGTTGGAACTTTGGGCCTGTTTGGAACCTGAGTTTTTTGGGAATTTGTCTAAAACTTTACTGTAGTGCACTGTAGAAGTTTTTAAAAAATTTTTGTAGAAGTTTTTGTAAGGTAAAAAATTTTTTTATAGAAGTTTTTGTAATGTGAAAAATTTTGTAGAAGTTTTGGTAGGGTGAATTTTTTGTTCCTTTTCTTTTTTTCTTTTTCTTTCTTTTTCTCTTTCTCTTTCTTTTTCTTTTTCTTTCTTTCATTTTTCTTCTTCTTCTTCTTTTTCTTCTTCCCCTTACCCGTTACCTCTGCCTCCCACCTCCGCTCCTCTGCTAGCACCACCTCTCTTTTTTTTTTTTTTTCTTTCTCCTCTCCCCCCTCCTCTCTCCCCGCACCCCTTTCCTCCCCTCCTCCACCACCCCCCCACTTCCCTTCTCCCCCCTCTGCCGCCACCCCTCTTGGGCGCCATCCTCCCACTCCCTCCCCCGCGACCCCTCACCCCCTTCCCCCTCTCCCTGCAACTCTTCTCCCCCGCCACCCTCAGCCCCTTCCCCCTCTGTCCCCGCCACTCCTCTCCCCCCGGACGACTGTGCCTGCAGTTAGGATGAGGATAAAGCACGAGGCGCGGATGGAGCTATCAAATGGGGTGAAATTGGAAGGGGCGACGTTGGTTGTTGTGAGGCCCATAAATGCTAGTGGATATGGTGGTCGCGAAGGAGGGAGTGAGACGGAGGAGCAAAGCGGGGATGTGGGATTGGCGATGGGGGCGTTCAGAGGCGATGGAGTTTATAGAGAGGCTGTTGAGAGGTTGCTCAAATGCAGGTGGTGGGTTCGGTGGGGAGGAAGAAGAAAGAAGGAGAAGGGATTTTTTTTTTTATTTTATGTTTTGGATATTTTAAGTGTGTAGATAAAAAACTTTGAGAGGTTTTTTAAGGTTCCTGTAGCAAAAGTTGTTAAAAAACTAGTAGGTAAAAAACTTAGGCAAAAAACTAGCTTCCAAACAAGCCCTTTATTTTGGTTGGCAATGTCAACCTAGCAAGTTACCAGTGCCACTGGTAATGAAGCGATTTTTTAATTCTTTGTAATGATGATGATCCCTAAAGGACATCAATAAATCAAATTTCTTGACTTTTTGATGGTTTATTTGAGGATGTAGTTTTATATTGCAAACTTCAATGGCATTTCTTCGTGAAGTTTTCTTGTTGGATTGGGTGAATATTTTGTCAATGTCGTGAACTTTATTTTTTTATTTCATTCGGTAAAACAATAGTTGAAGCCATCCATTTGTTACAAAATAAAATGGGTATATTTGATGTTCTTTTTGTAACTATTGCAAAGATTTTGATACATCTTTATGTAACTTTTTATAATTAATTTTTTAATTTGAATAACTGGATATTTCGGGGCAAGCTTGAAAATTACACCGCACATCGCGCGGTGTTCTCCTCCTAGTTATGATAAAAGGAGACAAAGATGTTGCTTCCTCAATGAAAAACTTGTGGCTGTAACTACTAACATTTGGATTTGTTTACATAAAAGTAAAAATTGAAAAACAATGGAAATTTTGCATAAATAATTTAATTTGATTGACTTTGAGAGTCTTTTTTTCTTATTTTTTTGGTCAATTAATTACTGATATTGGTTATGGATTGATAGATACTTAAAAGCCCTAAAAATAGGAAGGTTTTTGGGACAAGGCAAGAAATGTGGTATTCCTTTTTTAGCAGGTTTTCTCTTGAGATGCATTTGGATTGAGGGATTTAGCAAAGAATTTAAAATTTTTTCAAATCCCTTTAGTTTGCTTCGATAGCTTGGGAGGCGTATAATCAATTAATGAACATTATTACATTGTAAAAAATTTACGCATAGAAGTTTTCCAAAACTGATATGGTAGTTAAATATTCGGGATAAAATAATTTTTGATTTGAATATGAATAATACATAACAATATTGTTGATAAAAATATTCTGTACTAATATATGAACTAAATACTAATATATATATGGAGAGGGAGAGAGAGAGAGTAACAGATTCATAGGAGTTAATTAAATTTATTTCCCTGAGAAATTACCAAATAAATCTTGTGGAGGGGAAAAAAACGCAGTAAGAAAGAAAAAAGACCAAGGGAAAAAAATAAAAGGGAATAAATAAATAAATAAATAATTGCCTATCAGAAAAAAATTTAAAAAAAAATGTTCGAGGAATCCGAGGAAAAATGGATGTATTTGTGTCTTTCTTTCTTCCATTGCCGACTCCAACTTCCTCTCCGCCACCACTACTGCCACCGCCACCGAGCTGCTGCTACAACCTTCTTCCTAGCCAACATAAGAAGACAGCTAATTCATGATAAAATTTTGCAGAATTCCCAACACCTGATTGCAGAAACCACTTAAAATCAAGAACAAGCTCCACCCCACTACTGATATCTAACCCAAAGTCCACAAAAAAGGAGGGAAAAAAAATCTTGCATTCACCCGAAAAATCTCCGATTGGTAAGTATCAATTTTCCCCTTCTCATGTGCTGTAAAATCCCAATTGCTGAAATTGTTATAAATTTACGTTTTTTAGCTTCTTTTTGTTAAAACCTCAGCTCAAACAGAACCCTCCACTTTTTTCTCTTTGAAATTAACGATCGGTTGACTTGCCCAAGACGGTGATATTATCGGCGATTTACATAAAAACTCCCCGTGAATGGAGACGGCCACCTCCGATGCCTTCGGATCATCGACGGCACCGTTGACGTGGCACGACTTCCTCGAGAGAATGCGTCATCCTTCCGCTGCCCCGTTTGTCAAAGACATTAAAAGGTTTGATGGGAATTGATCTTGATTATTCACTTCAGCCTGGTATACTTATTACTAGTAGATTAAGTAATTAATTACATAGTTAAAGCATAGTTCTGATGGTTTTTTTTTTTTTTTTAATTTGGATTGATTATAATTTGAGACATTTGCAGCTTTATAGTGTCATTTATGAACAATGCGCCGGATGGGGAAAGGGATAGTGCAGCTGTGCAAGAATTTCTTGGCAATATGGAAACTGCATTCAGGGCTCATACACTTTGGGCTGGTTCTTCAGAGGAGGAATTGGAGAGTGCTGGTGAGGTGAGCTTGATTTTCTTGCATTATTCCGGTTTATGCCTGTTTTTTTGCCTTCGTCTTTTTAGAATTTACTTACTAAAGAAGGGAAGAAAAAAAGGATACAGGTACATCTAGTTTAATACTAGTATGAATGTGTGCCATGAGTATTTAAAACGTTAATTTTTAATCTGAATATAGGCTATGTATTATATTGGATATGCTAGTGTAAAACAATCTCTACATTGTCAGGTTTTGGAATCTTTAATCCAACAAAAACAGCCCAAGATTTTTTTTTTTTGTTTATGTTTCTTTGTTAGTTGGGCATTTGCCTAAGTAAAGTGGAAAAAAGTATGATGAACCAAAGAAATTTTTAACTGTTATTGTCTTCTATGTGAAGCTATAAGAAGTTTCTAACGGTATTGACCTAGTTGTTTCCAGAAGAGTTGATTGCTTATAAAGGATATCCTCTTGGAAATCCAATCACTTAAAAGTTTCAGTATCAGTTGTTAGTACTGTTACTTTAAGGACTGGGAAAATTGAGTTTTATGATGGGCCAAAATTAACGGGATGATGTTTTTCAAGATGGGGATATATGAATTTTTCTTGTTTGGTGAACTTCAGGAAATATTGAGCATGACTATAGCAAGTCGTGGTATACTAAACATGAATGTACGGTTCTGTTTCTTAATTCATGTTATTTTTCCTTTTGGGTGTTTGCTGTGAAACCAACCTAAGAAACTCTTGACTTGCCAGCAGCTTTTGTGCTGCACCATTAGTCAATTAAAATCCATTTCTTGAAGCGCTTTACTGATCTGGAACCACTGGGCTTTTGTTTAGTTTAGATTTCAATGGATACCCATTTCTTGAGTGTTTTGGCCCTCAATTTCAGTTGTGAAAATTGTGTTCTCTGCTACTTTTCAACTGATTGTGCCCAAATGTCTTATCTATGCTAAACTGGTCAATTGTTGTTCATGACACACATATACTTTACAGGGATTGGAGAAATATGTTATGACAAAATTATTTCCACGTGTATTTGCTTCACTTCCAGAAGATGTACAAGCTGATGATCAACTTTATGAAAAGATTGCTTTAGTTCAACAGTTCATTCAGCCAGAGAATTTGGATATCAAGCCAACCTTCCAAAATGAAACTTCATGGTTGGTGAGTAAGAACTTCCTTCTGATTGTTGGATGGTCTTAGTAACATATACTATCTCAAACAAAGTATAGGTGTGTAGGTTTTGTATAACTTTTTCTGGGGTAAACTGCAGCTTAGCTCTTGATAACTAAAAGCGGATAATGGGTGAGAAAGAAATGTGTCCGATTGACCATAAGATGGATTACAATTTTTTGTTATTGATGCAGCTTGCTCAGAAGGAACTACAGAAGATTAATATGTACAAAGCACCAAGAGACAAACTTGTTTGCATCCTGAATTGTTGCAAGGTTATTAGTAATCTACTGCTAAATGCCTCTATTGCGGCAAAAGAAAATCCTCCTGGAGCTGATGAATTTCTTCCTGTTCTCATTTATGTCACTATAAAGGTAAATCTGCTCTTTCTTTTCTTTTCTGTGTCTTTTGTTTAGCTGTAATCCACAAACTGAAATAGTTCCAATTAGTGAGACTTCAATGAGAATCCATTTTTTACCCAAAAAAAAAAGGAGAATACATTGGTCTCCTTTAAAAACTGCAGATTTTTATGCTTTTGTGTTTGTACGCTCTGTGTGTGTGTGTGTGTGTGTGTGTTTGTGTGGGAGTGTGTTTCATTTTTTCCCTTATATAATTCTATCTCTTTCAAGTCTCATTTTCAAGATCACCAGAATGGACACTGTTGAGGTTATCAGCTTCATACCATTTCTTTACTGCAATTTAGGCACTAGTTCTTTGCTGTTTTTCTAGATCTCTCTGCTTTGTTAAGAACCAGTCCTTTG